CAAACATCCCCCCCCGCTCCTTGTCCCCTGACTATCCCTCCTGGGACCCCTGCTCCTAACTGCCCTCCAGAACCCCACCCCCTACCTAAGGGGACAAGGAACAGGGAGGCTAACTGCCCCCTCCTGAGACCCTCCCACCCTAACTGCCCCCCGTAGGACCCTACCTGTACCCTGACTGCCCAAAACGTTATCCCAACCCCCGCCCCAGAAAGTCCCCCCCCAGAACTCCCAACCCCGCCCCCGCTCCCTGTCTCTTGACTGCCCGCTCCAAAACCTCCCTGCCCCTTCTCCGACCCCCTGGCCCCCTTACCCTGCCACTCAGACCAGCGTGCAGGGGAGGAGGAGCGGGGGTAGGGTGACCAGACAGCAAACGTGAAAAATCAGGACGGGGGGTGGGGGGTAATAGGAGCCTATATAAGAAAAAGACCCCAAAATTGGAACTGTCCCTATAAAATCAGGACATCTGGTCACCCTAAGCGGGGGAGGAGCTCCAGACTGCCGGTGTGAACGGCCGGCTGGTGATCTGAGAATGCAGGGAGGGAGTGCTCTCAGCTGCAGGGGAGAGGAGGGGGAAGTGGAGGAGGGGCTCTCTCTGGCTGTTGGAGCCCCATGTAAAGGACACCATCAGGCCAGCTGCCCTGTTAGCCGCGTGCGCTCTGCAGTGGGGGGGGGGGGGTCCGGACATTTACAAATTCCCCCCGGACGCTATTTTTAACTCTAAAAGCCGGACATGTCCCGGGGAATCCGGACGAATGGTAACCCTAGGCTTGGCAGCTCTGGGCCGGAGTGCGCTCAGCTGTTGTGGCCACCATTGAGTCGGGTGGAGATAGGGCTGTCCCCGGGGGCCCACAGACTATGCCTCAGTTTTCCAAGGGGTCCTGAGGCAAGCTGGTGCGGGGGCGGGCGCGTCTCCGGCAGCTTTTCTCCCCCCATCCCCACCCTCCCCATGTCCTGCTATTTTACCTTTGTCATCTGGTCACCCTACTCAACAGTCCTTAATTTAGAGCAGGGATCCTTGGACAGGAACTAACCTAAAGGATCCCAAAAAACAAAGCAGAGAAGATTTGCAGCCCAGCAGAAAAGAGAACAGAAGAAAAAGTTCCCATTTACATAAATCAGGCAGGCTGCCAGATAGTCCCACTAGTTCCTATTCTGTTAAAATTTGCAGGGATTGACCATCAGATGCTTATTTTAAACAAAACAAAAAAAACACCTCAAAAGGGACGTGTGTGTATTGCTGGTAGGAGATACAGCAGGCAAGACCCTGTTAATGCTGGCAAGAATCTGGCATCTCAAAGTATCGCTGTCTGACAGGATAATAATGAGTCCATTTCAGTATAAATGAGCTCCTATCAGTAATTTCTGTTAGCTCTCCATTGACTTGTGAACTGCTTTTCAAATCTCAAAAAAGAAGCTTGAAAAATACTCCAGGAATCTAGCCCTGTGATTTTCAGGGAGGCATATCGATCAGCAGGCTGTTAGGTTAGCTGCAATGAATCAGCTATGGGGAACCGGAGGGACTATGAAGTGTGAAGCCTTGTTTTTATTGCTGCTAACTATCAGGCAGGGAAGATCTACTAAAGTTTAAACAAAGGCCACATAGGACGGAGCCATTTTCAAGCTTTATTTCTGTGGAAATGTTAGATTTTCCTGGTAGGCTCTCTTACTGAGTGCTTCCTTTTTCTTTCTGCCGGGGACAGCACATGAAGAATTAAAAGCCAACTACTTCTTCTTGTCTTTCAGGAAGGCACATCTGTTGTTATTATGGATGGTAAAATACTGAGTCTAGCTGCTGATGACAGCCTGCTCATCCCTGCCCTGTCTAGGTGAGTGCAGAACAATGGTTCGATGCATGGTTTTGGCAACAGAAGCCCCAATTCCATACTGGGATACACAGGAGACCTGTGAGCATGCCTGTTTGAGCAAGGCAGCTGCACAAAACTTCTGGCAAATAGACTCATTCGCTACCTGCTAGGGTGTGTGTCAACTGGCACATCAAAATATAGCCCCAATGAATACAGTATCAGCATAGGCAATATTACTCAAACAAAGGGACGTTGAGGAGGAAATGTGGTGGCACTGACAGATCAGTCTAGATCCCCTCTTGAGGAGTCAGGGAGAGAAAATAGCTCACTAAAAGCATTGGAAAAAACAGGATACAGAAAAGACTGTACAGGTAAGGTGGTGGGGAGCCAGAGCCCATATCCCTCAGAAGGGGACTTCCTGAGTATGATACCAGATCTAACTGGTGTATATGAGCACCTCCTATCTAGATTCCAGTTCAGGAACACAGCTTTCTCCCATGTGCATTATCCTGGTGAGGAAAGGGGCTCATGGCACGGCCATCCTTAAGTAGGCTGCTGACAGACAAGACATTTGCAAAGGAGAGTTGGTGAAAAGTTTTCCAGGGGAAAATGGAACATATTTTAGCTGGAAGAATGTCATTTTCCTGCCAACTCTTGTTAAAAGTGACACAGGCACCCAGCAGAGAAAGCACCCCTCCTCAAAAAATAAAGGATAATGCAGGCACATTGGTAAGTACAGCTGGGTACAGGAAGATGATAGTGCTGACTTTTTTTCTTTCCTATGGAGGAACACCAGCCCAAGAAAAATATTTCTGATTTTGGATCTACTATATTAACATTCTATAACACTCAAAACCTTGTCTGAAGCTTTGAAACCATCTAATTGTGCACAGAACTATAAAGTCAGGCCACTTATCTAGTGAGCTTAGTGAGCTTTTTAATATGTTTTAAATAGGATTTAATACAGTCATTGTAATAGATAACAGCAGAGTATACACACACACACACACACGTCACATTCAATGTCGTTTGTTAAGCCAAAAATTTATAATTCTATTAACATGCAGGCCACTTCCACCCAAAACACTGTAAGAAGTATTTCACTAAATACGCTGCCAGAGGGCCCCATACCCCCTATACCTTGTTTTATAACAAGTGCTACACAGCATATTGCTACCCTTTGGCATATGCCATCTATTTGATTAAATATTTTCCCAGTAGTGTATGAGCTTGTTCTGTTGTCTTTATATTGTAACCTACAAAATATTTTAGTGCCATGCAGTTTTTTTTTAAATAGTAACTATAATGTCTTAGATTTATAGAAATGTGAGGTATAAAAATGTTATTAGAGCCTCTATTTCATCTCTTTACAAACTCAGGATTGTTCTAGTTTTGAAATCATTTTGCTTTAACCCTATAACATGCTGTTTTCCCATGACTGTTGTTGGCCTCATTTTGTTTGTCTACTAAAGCAGAGCAAAATCTAAAGTGACAATTTTTAATTTTGTCCTGACAATACAGTGCTGTCTCCAAACTATTCTCTATAAACATGTGATTCGTACACTCACTCACTCCTCCCTCTACTGTACCCTCCGATGGTTTTTGAACCCACTTGTTTTAAATTAGCCCCTAATCCTGCGATCTGATCAATGAGAGTGGGTCCATTTAGAATCCAATTGAAGTCAGTGGAATTAAGCCTGGTCGAAAAGGTCCACCCAGGCAAATCATATTGGATTGGGACCTTTAATTGTAGTCTCTTTGGGGCAGAGATTCTGGACATATGGACTGCATTTAGCACACTGGACCATGATCTTGACTGTGGCTCTGGTCAATACTATAATAGACATTAAATAAGTAGGTATATAAGTAAGAGAGGTGGCCCTGAACCACAATCCCAGATGCAAACATTCCTGAACTTTTAGGTGTTTGAAATCCTGGTTCAGATCTGGACTTTTTGAACTAAATTCAGTGCTCAGTGGAGTTACTCTGCTGCTACCCCCATGTAACAGAGCAGAATGTAGTCCTTTACCTACTTGAATATTTCATCTGGTTTAATTTGTGTCTTGTTTCCTAAACTGACTTTGGACCCTCTCTTATAGCAGTGTCTGTGAAGAGTAACTCCACTGAAGTCGATGGAATTACACCAGCATGAGACCAGTATAAGTGTGATCAGAACTAGGCCCCATTATTTTCCCCTGCGTTACAAATACATTAATTTACATTATATGATCTCTCTCTATTTTTGAAGGTACCACTGGAAGAGAGCGGAAGGATGCATTGCTCTTTACGTTACTCAAGACCCAATACGCAAAAGACCCTATGCCTAATTTCTGGGAACGTAAACTAAACATGGATGATCTTTAAAATTATCTATGTGGGATAAAGTTTTTGATGTTGCTGACAGGGCTGCTCAGAAAATGAATTACTTGTCTAATAAAAAGGTTACAATGAAATTGTGGTTTCAAGCAATAGATCCAATTAAACGTAAAGCATGCATACTACATGCTGCATGATAAACTGACAACTATGAGCTATTTGGTTAAAACTCAGAACACTCATTATTCCAAAAGAAAGGTGAAGCTGATTTAAGTAATGCAGCCAAATATACAGATTTATATACTCTATCTTGAAAGCTGAAGCTAGACAAATTCATCCTGGAAATAAGGTGTAAATTTTTAACAGTGAGAGTAATGAACCACTGGAACATGTACCCAGGGTTGTGATGGATTCTCCATTACTGGCAATTTTTAAATCAAGAGTGGATGTTTTTCTAACAGATTGGTGCTAGGAATTTGGGGGAAGTTCTATGGCCTGTGTTATACAGGAGCTCAGACTAGATCAGAGGTTCCCAAACTTATTTGGCCTACCGCCCCCTTTTCAGAAAAAAATTACTCAGCGCCCCCCTAGAAATCTATCTTCCTTAAGTGAACAAACAGAAAGATGCAGTGACAAATTTGCGTTCTTTTATGTATCTATATTTCTACCTACGTCTTACAATATAGTAAAGAAAGATGTGTTATTAGAATATCGCTCACGACATCAGGTATACAGTGGTTTTTGCATAAGACGGCAAAAGACAACCAAACTAAAATACTAATGAAACTAATAAACTGGGTTTTGTTCTTTGCTCAGCGTTAGATATATGTATTTGATATTAAATTGTCAAATATCAAACTAAATTTATCAAGAAATAATTTAAAAAATAATATGCAATTAAAAATCAGTTATAGTTTTAATTTAGTTTGCCCTTATTTAAATAATTGTTCCTTATTAACACACGCCTTATTTACCAATTAACACAGATGATTCGATAGATATAAATAAATGTTAATAGTTAACAGTTTTTTTCGATTTCATTCCCCTGTTTTCATTAATATTGTAATAAAAAATATGACAAATATATTGACTGTACACTTCAAATAGTACTCTACCGACACAAGCCTGCTACGATTTTATTATTAGTAAGCACTAGAGACACAGAAACGTACGGTAGATATGTAAGAAAATGTATAAAAATACTCACGTGTAAATTGCTGTTTTATTGAAACAACAATAATACAATCCGTAAAGATCAAAGGTATCCAATTATGAATAAAATTTTTTAAATACTTATTGCACTATTGTTAACTGCTTTTTACACAATTCAGAAACAATCTAAATTAGATTTCATACGTCGCCTATTTATAGTATCGTATTGTAAACAAGTCATTACACGCACAGATTCCTGCCGATGCATGCTGGACTTCCCGACAATGCGCGACATGCTCGCCTGCCAACACTTGCTTGTTAATTATAACCTGATCGGTTATAATTTGTGAATTTATTTGGAAAATAAAGTAATCACTACAACTTTAACTCTATGTTACACAACAGATGAAACATGTACGAACGGTTTTTCAAAATTTTCTTATATTTTCTTTCTTTATGCTTCCACCGCCCCCTTATTTTTATTCAATGCCCCCCAATTGCACCTGAGGCTACTACTGCCCCCCTGGATTGTTCCAGCGCCCCCCAGGGGGCAGTATCGCCCACTTTGGGAACCTCTGGACTAGATGATCACAGTGGTCCCTTCTGGCCCTGGAACCTATGAATCCTAATTACAGCAAATTAAAGACTTTTCCAAATACAAGTCTCTTCTAGTAGCTCAAGGACTTCATGTGAGTAACGGTTCCCCACTGTGAGCCATAGGTGTGGCACAATGTGACTACATTAAAGGATTTAGAGCTAGACCATACCTTTAAGTTACAAGCATTTTGTGAACTCACTGGTGCACGTCAGAGATATGCAGCTGTCACATACACAGTCCTGTACAGACAACTGCAGTGGGGTGGAAATGGGGCCGTCACCCAGTCCCCACTTGCCATTCTGTGGCATAAGAAGGGGCTGGTCCTTGTGCTCCCTTAACACCCCTTCAGAGACTGCAGTTGTAGCTGACCCTTGATGTTCATGTTTTCAAATAAATTAAAAGAAATCATAAAGATAACAGTACAGTTTGACCTGAGCCTATGCAAATCTGGTAGGGAACATATCATGCCTATCAAGTAATACTTCATACAACATACAGTATTGTATGTATATCAACTGATATTGTGGCAATATGACTCTAAAACACACAGATAGGCCTGGTTGTAGTTCTCCAAGTGCCAAAATCTCATTTTAAGGTGACCAGCTATTCCTTTCAGGTTTTCAAAGCGATACCCCCCGCTACTCCCAACTTGATTTTAACTTTGGAAATATCGGGCATGACAAGTGGTTTTCACTGGTTTCCTCTGGGGTCTCAGATTTTACATGGGCCTGCATATTGGATCCTTTTACTATTGAAACATTGAAAAACAAGTTAGTTAGAAAGGTAGTGTTACCAAATCTTAACATTTGTATGTTTGTTAAAATCTAAAATTACTGTAGCTTGAATTTTTGCAATTATACTAATAATGTAAATTAAAAACAGACTGTTCTGCCTATAGATTTTCAGTATTTCTGCCTACCACCTACAGGGCTTATTAAACTGAGCTGTCACCTCTCTTTTATGCTATTATCCATTCCTTTGGGGAGAAGATGTCAGACAGAATGACTTTAATCCTTAACTTCTATGAAAGGCTCACTCTAGAAGCTTTTCCTTTAGAGTACAGCAGAACCTAACTAATTCCCACTCACAACTGGGAGACCCATTGTGAATAATTGAATTTGGCTAATTAGGGTCAAGTCCTGCTGTGCTTGCACATGTGAGTAACTTTAACCACATGAATAGTCCCATTAAATTCATGGGAATTACTCATGTGACTAAAGTTATTCACATAGTCCTGCGGACGCTTAACCATCTCCTCAGTGAGACAACTCCTGCTCCCACTGAGGTCAATGGGAGTTTTGGCACGTCTTCAAACAGGATTAGGATTTTACCTGCAAGGCGTTGAGCACTGTAGTCAGCAGGAGCAGAGGGTGCTCAGCACCTGGCAGGATCGGGACTTGAGTGATCAAACAAGTAAAGCAAGATAATCAATACAATATGCTTGAGCCTGCTCAAGCCTGGGAGAAAGATCAAGCCCTGTACGTACCTTTTTAGATATTGTAATGTTTTAAATTATTTTCATTATAATGTTTAAAAGCATATAAGGAAGTTATTTCTGTCCTCTTATATCAACAATGGAGCCAGATCCTCCACTGATGCAACTTTATTGAAGTCTGTGGAGTTATGCCAGTTATACCAGTTGTCCAATTAAGTTTTAATTATATAAGTAAGCATGTTAAAATGTGGGGACAATTAGAAAGAGTGCTGATTGGCAAGATTCTACTGTACATCAGCATCTGATCATAACAAACAGCTTGGTCCCACTAAGCAACCACTGTGATAAAAAGGAGTAATCCCAGGCACAATAAGGAAGTCACAAGTACTCACCAATGTTTTCCAGTCTATTGGAACAGGCACAGTGAGAAAATCTTCAGTGGGAGAAGCATACATTTGGCCCAGTGAAATTAAAGTGAAGAACAGTTTGAACCAATAAAAAGAAATCATTCTCTATGCAACATGTAGAATTCACTGATTAATAGTGGAGCCTGATTTTAAAAAGCACTGGATAATTTTATCATTAATAACATTTTTACTTGAGCTATGACTGGTGTGACAAAGTTCCTCCTCTATCTTGGTGGGTCCTGCACTTATTGGCGGATTTTCTTGCCTC